ACACAACGATATGAATTAGAGTGTGAGGATCTGTGGTTTAGACTTGTTCCGGCAAGAATACAGATGTGTTGTTGCAGATTCTGAAATATTCGTTCAGTGGTGCGCGCATGTGGCCCGCATGTTTTTTGTGTAATTTTCGTTGTTTCTTAGGATGCCTGACAACACGCACGTGTCAGATCAAAGCTTGTGCGCCGCATGGTGTTAGTTGACAGGGGTAAAAGTCGAGTAGCGATCACGCACTAGCGGGCATGGCGCAATTCTGTGATTTAACTCAGCGTTCGTGCAGGACAGATGTGACAACACAATGCGCGGTGGGATGTGGACACGTGCGAAGCACGCGACTGGGGCCCTCGGTGGAGCTCCCTATAGGCTACGAACCGTTGCACTGGGAGGGGGAGACGCATGCGGACTTTGCCACTGGGGCCTTCGGTGGAGCTTCTATGGGCCACGAAACGTTGTGCTGGGTGGGGGAGACGCACGCGGGCGGTCCCAGTGGGGTCGTCGGTGGAGCTCCCCATGGGCAACGAAACGTTGTGCTGGGTGGGGGAGACGCATGCGGACTTTGCCACTAGGGCCTTCGGTGGAGCCCCCGATGGGCCACGAAACACTGTATTGGGTGTGCGGGACGCATGCGGATTTTGCCACCCGGGCCTTCTGTGGAGGTCCCTATGGACCGCGAAACGTTGTGCTGGGTGGGCGAAACGCATGTGGACTTTGCCACTGGGGCCTTCGGTGGAGCTCTCTATGGGGCCGCGAATCGGTGGGGCCCCCTATGGGGCAACGAGGCGCTGTACTGGGTGTGCGGGACGCATGCGGACGGCCCCACTGAGACCTTCGGTGGAGCTCCCTATGGTGCCAGGAAGGACTGTACTGGGTGGTGCGTGACGCATGCGGGCGGTCCCACTGAGACCTTCGGTGGGGCTCCCTAGGGGGCCCCCAAACGCTGTACTGGGTGGGGGCGACGCATGCGGTCGGTCCCACCGGGACCTTTTGTGGGGCTTCCGTTGGGGCCACGAAGCGTTGTATGGGGTGTGCGGGACGCACGTGGACGGTCCAATTAGGACCTTCGGTGGGGCTCCCTATGGGGCCACGAAGCGCTGTACTGGCAGTGTGCGGGACGCATGCGGGCGGTGCCACTGGGACCTTCGGTGGAGCTCCTTATGGGGCCACGAAGCGCTGCATTGGGTGGGGGCGACGCATGCGGACGGTCCCACTGGGACCCTCGGTGGGGCTCCCTATGGGACCACGAAACGCTGTACTGGGTGTGCGGGATGCATGCGAGCGGCCCCAGTGGGACCCTCAGTGCGGCTGCGTATGGGGCCACGAAGCGCTGTACTGGGTGCGTGGGACGCATGCGGGCGGTCCCGCTGGGACCTTCGGTGGGGCTCCCGATGGGGCCGCGAAGCGCTGTACTGGGTGCGCCGGATGCATGCGGGCGGTCCCACTGGGGGCGCCGGTGGAGCTCCTTATGGGGCCACGAAGCGCTGTACCTGGTGGTGCGTGACGCATGCGGGCGGTGCCACTGGGACCCTCGGTGGGGCTCCCTATGGACCACGAAACGCTGTACTAAGTGGTGTGTGACGCATGCGGGCGGTCCCGCTGTGACCTTCGGTGGGGCTCCCTATGGGGCCACGAAACGCTGTACTGGGCGTGCGGGACGCATGCGGGCGGTCCCGCTGGGACCTTCGGTGGTGCTCCTTATTGGGCCACGAAGCGCTGTACTGGGTGCGCAGGATGTATACGGGCGGTCCCACTGGGGCCGTCGGTGGAGCTCATGGGGCCACGCAACGCTGTACTTGGTGGTGCGTGAAACATGCGTGCGGTGCCATTTTGGCCGTCTGCGGGGCTCCCTATGGACGACGAATGGGTGGTGCGTGACGCATGCGGGCGGTGGCGTTGGAGCCGTCGGTGGAGTTCTTCATGAGGCCGCGAAACACTGTGTCGGGTGCTGCGGGACGCATGCGGGCGGTCCCGCTGGGGCCGTCGGTGGAGCTCCCTGTGGGGCCACGAAGCGCTGTATTGGGAGGTGCGTGACGCATGCGGGCGGCGGCGCTGGGGCCGTCGGTGGGGCCACGAAGCGCTGTGCTGGGTGGTGCGTGACGCATGCGGGCGGTCCCACTGGGACCTTCGGTGGAGCTCCCTATGGGGCCACGAAGCGCTAAACTGGGTGGTGCGTGGCGCATGCGGGCGGTGCCACTGGGGCTTTCTGTGGAGCTCCCTCTTGGGCCACGAAGCGCTGTACTGGATGCGCAGGATGCATACGGGCGGTCCCACCGGGGCCGTCGGTGGAGCTCATGGGGCCACGCAGCGCTGTACTTGGTGGTGCGTGAAACATGCGTGCGGTGCCATTTTGGCCGTCTGCGGGGCTCCCTATGGACGACGATGGGTGGTGCGTGACGCATGCGGGCGGTGGCGTTGAAGCCGTCGGTGGAGTTCTTCATGAGGCCACGAAACACTGTGTCGGGTGCTGCGGGACGCATGCGGGCGGTCCCGCTGGGGCCGTCGGTGGAGCTCCCTGTGGGGCCACGAAGCGCTGTATTGGGAGGTGCGTGACGCATGCGGGCGGCGGCGCTGGGGCCGTCGGTGGGGCCACGAAGCGCTGTGCTGGGTGGTGCGTGACGCATGCGGGCGGTCCCACTGGGACCTTCGGTGGAGCTCCCTATGGGGCCACGAAGCGCTAAACTGGGTGGTGCGTGGCGCATGCGGGCGGTGCCACTGGGGCTTTCTGTGGAGCTCCCCCTTGGGCCACGAAGCGCTGTACTGGGTGCTGCGTGACGCATGCGGGCGGTGCCACTGGGACCTTCGGTGGAGCTCATGGGGCCCTGAGTTGTGCGTGACGCATGCGGGCGGTCCCGCTGGGACCTTCGGTGGAGCTCTGGAGACACGAAGCGCTGTACTGGGTGGTGCGTGACGCATGCGGGCGGTGCCACTGGGGCTTTCTGTGGAGCTCCCTCTTGGGCCACGAAGCGCTGTACTGGGTGCTGCGTGACGCATGCGGGCGATGCGATTGGGACCTTCGGTGGAGCTCCTTATGGGGCCACGAAACGTGTGAGGGGTGTGCTGAAGCAAGTGACGATAATGAAACGCAGGGAGGAGGGAGGAGGGGTAGGAGGAGAGGAGTGAGGCGGGGCGCTGTCTCTTCAAAACGAGGACCCAACACCACGGGATTGTTGGGATACAAACATTCGACACGGTGGAACACAGCAGCATCTTGGCAGCATTGCGTCACCAGGGCGTCTCACCCGATTGCGTCCACTTGCCTCAACGCCTCTACCATGTCCAAGCGGCCGTGGTGCGCACCGACTCCACGAGCAAACACTTGAAGCTGCGGCGCGGCACAAAACAAGGCGACCCCCTAAGCTTTTTATTCTTCAACGCACTACGACAACACATTCCAGCACCACTCATTCCTGAATGGCATTGACGACGAAGAGGAGTTCAAGCGGCGCACGCCGACCAGTCTGTTCGGAAGAAGACCGGTTCAACAGACGACGGGTTCAACAGGGACCGGTTCAACAGACGACTGGTTCAACAGACACCGGTTCAACAGACGACCAGTTCAGCAAGGACCAGTCAAAGACGGGTTCAACAGGACCGGTTCCGCAGAACCGGTTCCACGGAATTGGTTCCACAGGACCGGTTCCGCAGGACCAATACCACAGAACCGGTTCCACAAGCCCGGTTTCACAGGACTGGTTCCACAGGACCGGTTCCACAGGACGGGTTCCACAGAGGCGGTTCCCTCCTGCTACTCTCTCTCATTACACTGCTGCTGCTGTTGCTGCTGCTGCTGCTCCTCCTCCTCTTCCTCCTCCTCCTCCTCCTCATCCATCCCTCTCTGCCGTCCCGCCCTCCCCCATACCTCGTTGCCGCTACGTCCCCCCGCCCCACATCCCTCATCCCTCCCTACTTCCTCCTCCCCTCTCCTCCCTCATCCATCATCGAGGGCCACCCACCCGACCCGTCCTGCCCGACCCGACCCGACCCGTCTCGCCCGTTAGGGTCCGCCCGCCCGATCCGACCCGTCCCGCCCGTTAGGGTACTCGCGTACCAACTCGATGGCGCATCATACTTGAATCTCCCGCCCGCCTGACACGACCCGAACCGCCCGTTAGGGTCCGCCCGCCCGACCCGACCCGTCCCGCCCGTTACGGTCCGCCCGCTCGCTGGACCCGTCCTGCCCGTTAGGGTACTCGAGTGCCATCTCGATGGCGCGCCATACTTCAATGGCCCGCCCGACCCGACCCGACCCGCCCGTTGGGGTCCGCCCGCCTGACCCCTCCGGCCCGTTAGGGTTTTCGCGTGCCAACTCGATGATGCATCATTATTTTCTTTCCCGCCCGCTCGACCCGACCCGTCCCTCCCGTGAGGGTCCGCCCGCCCGACCCGTCCCGTCCGCCCGCCCGCCCGAACCCGTCCCGCTCGTTAGGACAATCGCGTGCCATCTCGACGATGTATCATACTTTAATGTCCCGCCCGCCCGACCCGACTGTCCGCCCGCCCGACCCGCCCGTAGGGTCCGCCCGCTCCGCGCCGACCCGTCCGCCCGCTAGCGCACTCGAGGGCAATCTCGATGATGTATCATACTTTTACATCCCGCCGCCCACCCGACCCGTACCGCCCGTTAGGGTCCGCCCGCCCGACCCGACCCGTCCCGCCCGTTATGGTCCGCCCGACCCGACCCGACCCGTCCGCCCGTTAGGGTCCGCCCGCTCGCTGGACCCGTCCCGGTTAGCGCATTCGCGTGCCATCTCGATGATGCATCATACTTTATATCCGCCCGCCCGACCCGACCCGACCCGCCCGTTAGGGTCCACCCGCCCGATCCGACCCGTCCCGCCCGTTAGGGTCCGCCGGGCCGCCGGACCCGTCCCGCCCGTTAGGGTACTCGCGTGCCAACTCGATGGTGCATCATATTTTAATGTCCCGCCCGCCCGACCCGACCCGACCTGCCCGTTAGGGTCCGCCCGCCCGACCCGACCCGTCCCGCCGGTTAGGGTCCGCCCGCTCGCCGGGCCCGTCCCGCCCGTTAGGGTACTCGCGTGCCAATTCGATGGTGCATGATTCTTTAATGTGTCGCCCTCTGGACCCGACCCGACCCTTCCCGTTAGGGTCCGCCCGCCCGACCCGACCCGTCCCGCCCGTTAGGGTCCGCCCGCCCGCCGGACCCGTCCCGCCCGTTAGGGTATTCGCGTGCCAATTCGATGGTGCATCATTCTTTAATGTCCCGCCGCCCGACCCGACCCGTCCCGCCCGTTCTCCCGCCCGTTAGGGTCCGCCCGCCGCCGGACCCGTCCCGCCCGTTAGGGTACTCGCGTGCCATCTCGATGATGCATTCTTTTTGAATGTCCCGCCCGCCCGACCCGACCCGTCCCGCCCGGGTCCGCCCGCCTTCCCCGCCGTTAGGGTACTCGCGCCACTCGACAGACTTTAATGTCCCGCCCGCCCGACCCGACCCGTCCCGCCCGTTCGGGTCTGCCCGCCCGACCCGACCCGTCCCGCCCGTTAGGGTCCGCCCGCTCGCCGGACCCGTCCCGCCCGTGAAGGTATTCGCGTGCCAAATCGATGGTGCATCATATTTAAGGTCCCGCCCGCCCGACCCGACCTGTCCCGCCCGTTAGGGTCCGTCCGACCCTGGAAAGAACGCCCGCGCCAAAGCAGTCACCCAAGGCGTTGGGTGACTGTTGGGGGCGGGCTTGCTTTGCTTGAGGTCAACAGGAGAAGGAGGAGGAGGAGGAGGAGCAGGAGCAGGAGCAGGAGCAGGAGGAGCAGGAGGAGCAGGAGAAGCGGGAGCAGGGGCAGGAGGAGCGCGAGGGCCGCCCACGGGAAGAGGACGGGGAGGATGAGCAGGAGAAAAAACACCGTCGTCGTCGTCTTCGTCGTCGTCGTCGTCGTCGTTGTCGGCGTCGGCACCGTCGTCGTCGTCGTCGTCCTCGTCCTCGTCCTCGGAATCGTCCTCGTCGTTGTCGTCGTCGTCGTCTCCGTCGTCCTCGTCGTCGTTGTCGTCGTCGTCGTCCTCGTCGTCGGTGTCTTCGTCGTCGTCGTCGCCGTCGTCGCCGCCATCATTGTTGTCGTCGTCGCGGCAGAGACGGATCTGGGGAAGCGGTTCCGGGGAACCGGTTCCGGGGAAACGGTGCGCCGGGGAAACGGTGCGCCGGGGAAACGGTGCGCTGGGGAAACGGTGCGCCGGGGAAACGGTTCAGGGGAACCGGCTGCGGGGAAACGGTTCTGGGGAACCGGCTTTGGGGAAACGGGCCCGGGGAAACGGTTCCGGGGAAGCGTTCCCGGGGAAACGGAACAGGGGAAACGGTCCCGGGGAAACGCTCTTCCGCGGTCCCCAGAGAAGAGGTCTCCTGGGAAACGGTCCTCCGGGGAAACGGTCCTGGGGAAGCGGTTCCGGGGAAACGGTTCCCGGGGAAACGGTTCCATATCGTCTGTTCTCACCAACCTCCGTTTCGCCGACGACACTCTGCTAGTCAGCCAGACGCTGCCCAACCTAAAGACTATACTGACACACCTGATCACAGCAGCAAAACCACATGGCCTCGAAATACACCCGACGCATCCAGCATATCATTACCAACCACTCCAAGACCCAGACCCGTTCTGCACACGCTGCAACCCCAGACCCCCTCGAGTCATGAAAAAATCACGACGGGAGGTTTTTCATTATTTTTGGCCTCCGGGGGCCCTTACCGGCCCTCGGGAGCGTCAAAAAACGACTCAGGACGAAAAACCGGTCCTGCGGAATGGGTCCAGACCGCTGGGGGTCGACGTCATGAAAAATTCATGACGTCGGGGGTCTGGGACTTTGGACAGTGCAATACTGCCACCCACCGGCAAGCTGACATGCTTCGGCAAGGCGAGTACACCTTCCAAGGCGCCGCGGCGACCGGAGTCCAGCATCACATGCAGGCGGCGTCGGCGAGCGAGCACTACCGTTTCCACTCGAGGACAGGCTGCGGCTGTACCGTGGCACCGTGGTGCCCACGATGACATACGGCGCAGAAACGTGGACCTTTCAGGAGGGGAAAAAACACACAGACACAATTGATCGTCGACTCCCAGGAAAATGTAGGAAAACATGGGTATTGGGCGGGAAGACGAAAACCCAGAAAATATGAGAAAATATGGGGAATCATTTTATTTGTGTGTATTTATTTGTGTGTCCTTAGGCCCCTTGAATACTGCGCAGAAACGTGGACCTTGGCGGAACCACTCAGACAACAGCTACGCTTAAGTCGGGCCTGTCCCTCTACAGGGGGCATCTTCAAAAATAGTGAAAACATAGTCTGGGGGCGATTTGCTGACTACTTTTGAATAGTTCGGGTTATTGTTTGAGTGCTCTTTATTTTTCGCCCAAAATCCCCCTGTAGGGGGACACGCCCGACTTACAGCTACGTCGCTTTCAACGGGGAACGGTCATGGCGATCCTCGGCACCCCGAGGAGGCGCACGAAGACCGCCCTGCGAACGCACGCCGCCCCAAGGGGGGACAACCACAGCAATCGCGACGCGGGCAGCGACACCCCTCCCCCATCAGAGCAGACTAGCACACGAGAAGACACCAGTGGCGCACCCCTTACCCACGAGCAGACGGTGGACGACGACGAGCTCTGGTCTGACTTCATCCGCCGGAGCACGCGCAGAGCAGAGGAGCTCATGAACAAGCACAACATCTCTGACGTCGTACAGATACATCGCACAACAATCTGGCGCTGGGCCGCGCGCGCTGCAAGCCGCCATCCGCAGAGCCGATGGACACACCGAGCGTTGAATTGGAACCGCAGTCTCGACGCGAAACAGCAAGGGGACCGGTAGCATGGCGGTCAAAGAACGCGGTGGGACGACGACATGAGGAAGTTTTTACAGGGTTTTCACACGACCGCCAAAGACGAAGCCACGGGCAGCGATACCAACGGCGCCGTCCATCCACGACGATACCTCCACTACGACAGTATTGATGCGAGGTGGTTGAGCTGCGACAGGCACGACATGGTGGGCTTCTCTTGAGAGCATTTTCATTGCACACAACTGCTGAGCGTGCAAACTTCCCAACATCAACTAAACCAATAACCGTTGCTACTACCACCAGCGCCAACACCGACCGCCGACAACGACAGCAACACCACAGCAGCACCAATACACAGCACCGACTACCACCGACCATCAACAGCAACAGCCAGGACACCGACCGCACCGATTCGATTCTGATCTGGTCCGCGAACATCTTCTACCTCGCCTTCCTCGTCTTCTGGTTTATACGCGTTTTGTTCCTGACTTTCTTTGTGCGCTGGTTTCAACAGCATTTCGTCCACGACTTCTCTTCGCGCGCGATGTGAGGCCACGGCCTCCTGCGCCATGCCCAAAGGGTACGGGCACACCAGTGTGCCCGACTCCAGCGCCTTCGCTTCGCTTCGCTCCTCACTCCTCCTCCTCCTACTCCTCTTCCTCCTCCGTAGTCACGGTTCACTACTCACTATTCACTCCTCCTCCTCCTCCTCCTCCTCTTCCTCCCCCTCCTCTTCCTCCTCCTCCCCCTCCTCTCCCGTCCTCCTTCTTCTCACTCCTCCCTCTCCGCCTCGTCCTTCTCCTCCTCCTCCTCCTCCTCCCTCCGCCGTATTCACTACCCACTACTCACTATTCGTCCTCCTCCTTCTCCTCCTTCTCCTCCTCCACCCTCTTATCACTCGCGCACGCCGATCCCACGCTGTGCAAGGTAAGTGAGCATCTGGATCATATGGCGATAGACCGACCGACCGACCTCCACCCTCTTCTACACTTACTACGCACTACTCCTCGTCCTCTTCCTCTTCCTCCTCCTTCTTGTCCTTCTCCTCCTCCAGCCCCAAACCTAAGCCCGTCGGAGGTCTCCGGAGGTCCAGGCCCAGCGAGGGCCAACCACTTCCAAGACCTGCTGTCTTCGATCCTCCCGTCCTCCTCCGCCACTTTCCCCCGCTCCAATTGCCGCGCCCCTCCCCCCCCCCTGGCCCCGCAAGCTGAGGTCCTGAAGGCTCCCTCTCCTGGCTTCGAGTCCAGGCGGCCCAGCGTCAACAGCCGCGTCACGCTGGACTACGCAGGCGCGGGTACGAGGATGCGGACGTGGAGGAGAATGAGGGAGGAGGGTCACGGCTTGATGTTCGAGGATCGATGATAGTGTTTGTTTGTTTTTTTCTCTCTGGAGGCCTCTGGAGACTCCCGGAAGAGACGGATGAGATAGAGGGAGAAGAGGAGATGAGCAGCAGCAGGAGGAGGAAGATGAGATGGAACGGGGGGATGACGAGGAGAAGGAGGAGGAGGAAGAGGAGGAAGAGAAGGAGGATGAGGAGGAGAAGGTGAATGAGGAGATTTGAAAGATGGGAGCGGATGGGCGGATGAGTGAGGGAGAGGGGCACAAAAGTGCAACGCATCCAGAACATTGAGGAAGGAATGAATTTGGAGGGTTGAGTTGTGAAAGCGAAGAGAGCCCAACCTGGAATGAGTTTCGGTTTCGTGCTGTGGGTCTGGGAGGCTAAGGTGCGCGAGGGCGACAATGTGTCGGCGTAGCTCGGGTCAGGTCGGAGTGCCTCGGCCGTGCGGTTGCCCGCGCGGTTGTCCGGTGCGCTATTTTGTGGGCTGTTCCCCCGGTCGTCCCGAGTCGGAGGGTTCCAAAGGCGGTTTTTGGAGAGGCGTTCCAAGCGGGCCAAGATGCTGCAGGGAGGCGCCCTGCGTATCGCAGCATGCCCCATGCGGCCCTGGGCCATCCACGTTCTCCCATCGCGCCCATCGCCCGCAGCACGGTCACATTCATCGGGGTTTCGTGCCCCACCTAATACACGCAAACAGCTAGACAATCATGCGTGTGTCCCTTCATTCATTATCTGGTCGTGGCAACCGTTATGTGACATGGTTGTCTTGTGGGTTGTCTTGTGGGTTTGTTTGTGGGTCGTTTTGTGGGTTGATCCCCGCGAATTGTCCCGTGGGTTGTCCTCTGGTTGTTCCGTGGGATGTGCAGTCGGTTGTCTCGTGGCTTCCTTGTGGTTGCCCCACGGATTGTTCTGTGGATTGTCCCGTGACTGTCATGTGGTTGTCCCGTGGGTTGTACCGTGGGTTGTTCCGTGGTTGTCTTGTGGGTGCGTAGTCCTGTGGTTGGACCGTCGTGTTTGAGTGGGTTGTCAGTGTTTGTTCCGTGGTTGTCCCGTTATTTTTCCCTTAGGTTTGCTCCGTGGGTTTTCCCGTTGTTGCTTTGTAGCTCTACCTTGGTCATTATGTGGGTTGTCCAGTGGTCGTCCTATGGTGTCCCGTGGTCATCCCGTGGGCTGTCCCTATGGTCGCCATTATGTGGTTTGTCTTGTGGGCTGTCCCGCGGTTATCCCGTGGGTTGTCCCGTGGTCGTCCCGTGGTTTGTGTCGTTGGTTGTTCAAGGTTGTCACTCGTTTGGTCTCATAGTTGTATCATGGGCTCCTATGGTTTCTCCTGGGGTGCTCCGTGTGTTGTCCCTGGTTGTCCAGTGGATTGTCCCGTGCCCGTGGGTTGTCCCGTGGGCAGCCCAGTGGTTGGACCGTGGATGTTCCGTGGTTGCTTCCGTCGTTATCCCGTGTTTGTCACTTGGGTTGTCGAGTACGTTTTCCCGCAGTTGTCCCGTGGGTTATTGTTTGGGTTGTCCCGCGGTTGTCCCATTCGTGGTTGTACCTTGTGTTTGTTTATTGGTTTGTTCCGTGGGTTGTCCCGTGGGTTGCTCCCAGGTTTGTCCCGTGATTGTCCCGTGGGTTGTTCCGTGGTTGTGGCGTGGGGTGTCCCGTCGGACATGTAGTTCCAACTGACAGTCCAATGGCATGCAATGCGCAGTTCGAGATGCAACGTGCGGCGCACATCGAATTGCCAGTCGCCGTGCACGCATAACGGAATGTAAGTTCCTCTTCCCAAAATCTTCTCATCACCCGGACGGTGGTCTATGAGGCATATCGGGAAATGGGGTTTGTGTCATTGTATGTGCAAGTGGAGTCCAGGGCAACGGTTGAGGTGCCATAAAATTCCAGGGTAGGGCATGAGAAGATGGAGTTTTGCATTTTGCTCGAAGTCCTCGCTGATTGTACCCCTTGTTCCCCTCATCCATGTAATCTTCCATCCGTCGTCTGCTTCCCCCTCTGCTTCACTTTCCCCCTTCCCCCTTCCCTTGCTCTCTCCTCCTCTTGCGGACCACCATCCTCCTCCTTGGTCCTTGTCTCTTCCTCGCCTCCCTCGCCCTCCTTGTGCCCCCCCCCCTCTCCCTCTACTTCGTCTTCCCCTATTCCCTTCAAGCTACACATCTGCATTTCCCTCCCCCCCCCCTACGGCCCATTCTCTCCTTTCCATGCCGCTCCTTCACAAGCTTCGTCCTCCCTCCCTTCCTCCCCTCCGTTCCCTCGCTCCCCTCCCCTTATGGACCCCTCCTGTTCCGCGACGCTATTTTCAACCGCTGTCAGCAAGCAACAGCCACTATGACATCGCACACTGATGATAGGCCTTCGTCTGGAGGCGTGTGTCGAGAATCCCTGGGGCACTTCGATACGCTCCCGCCCTGATGCACGCGCGCAGAGCCGCGAGAGGATGACTGCTGCCGTGTGCAGCAGTCGACGCCGAGGTCGAATAATGATGCTAGTTTTTTTGTGGCACGCGTGGCCGCTTAACTCCGCAGTGTGATCTTGAGGTCTCCTGGCGGGCAGGAGAAGCAGGAGGACGATGAGGAGCAGCAGCAGCAGGAGCTGCAGCAGCAACAGGAGCAGAAACACGTCGTTAGAGGCGCGGCGCGGCTGCCGTGGGTAGCGCTTGCTGCTCCGGGGCTTCAGGCTGGAAGCCTGACGGCGAGCTGATCATATCCACCGCGGTCACCGGTCAGCCAGCGACTTTCACTGTCAAGGAGCGGCCGCCACCCCCTGTCCGAGCTGCGAAGCGTCGAGGACGACGGCGACGAGAGCATCTGCATGTTTCTTTTTTCGCGTGGGGTTGTGGCGATGATGCGCCCCCGATCGTGCAACAGTCAACAAGCACACAAGCACATTAGTACATACCTACAGGCCTCGGCATATCCTCTGAATTTGGTGGGCGACGATGCGTCAAAGAACCACACGGTGCCACTCTGTCCGAAACAGACGTCAACAATCGCGTTGTTCGTTTCTGGGTGGCCAAGAGATTGCAGCATCTCTGCTGGAAGACTGTAGGTTCACCCTCCTTCCCTGATTTGATCCCTCCCTCCTTCCCCGTTCCTCGGGAGGATTCCGCTCTCTCCAGAGGACCTCCACCCCCAGAGAGCACCCCATCCCTTCTTAGGACCACTCCCCCCTCGATAGACCCCCCATCCGAAGGACCCCTCCCATCCAAAGGACTCCACCCTCCAGAAAATCCCACTCCCTCTGGGGGATCCACCTTCGGCAGGCCCCTCCTCAGGAGGCTTTGGAGCCTCTCGGAGCTGATTGGTGTGAAGCATCTTAGAGCCGACAGTGCCAACACACAGTGGCATCGAAACCCATTGCCCCAGCCAGCTCAGCCAGCCAGCCCAACCAGCCCAACCGTACCAGCCCACCCGCCAGCCAGCCTCGGGGGCGGCAAAGAGGGGAGTGAGGACTGGGGGGGGGTGGATATCATGGCGGGGGCCATGATATTTCCCGAGATTCCATGGCGCGTCTTCTTGTTTCATTACGTCCCCGGCCCCCCCGCTGGGCCGCGCACATGCCGCCGGTCATGATTTGCACCCCCCCTCTTGGACACCCCCCTCTTGGCCGCTCCCGACTCGACCGAACCAGCCACCCCGCCGCCGAGCCAGCCCGCCCACTCGCGCCTCCTCGCCCGCCCTCCCCCCCACCGAGGGCGAGCCGGTGCGCCCTCCCCGGGCCCGGCGGGGCAGCGAGGGGGGAGGCCGAGCCGCACGGTGGCGGCGGGGGCCCGGCCTCGGCGCCGCGGGGCGTGCGGCACGGCCCGGGCCCTCGGGTGCGGCGCCGTCCTCGCAGTCTCAGTCTGGACGCCCGACAGGGGCAGGGCAGCAGTGGGTACCATTTACCAGCCTCGAACGTATCCCTATCATCAAGATTGACACGCCAAGAGGCGATGACAATCTTAGGGATTCGCCCTCAAAAAATAAGGAGACCCCTAAGATTGGCACCGTGATGAGGAGGTGCCCAGCATAGGGATAGGGATATGTTCCAGGCTGGTAAACAATGCCCAACAGCAAGTGTTGTCCCAAACCAACAGCGGCCGCTGTTGGGCAGGCGGCCTTCTGTCTCAAATGGGCACAGGCCGCGGCGGCACCGACAGCGAGTCCCGTTCAGAACGAACCGGAACTGCTGTTGGGCATTGTACCCATTCTTTCCGTACCCATTTTTCGGGCGTCCAAAATCTCGCTTCCACCACGCCCGTTCTCCGTCGCTTTGCAGTCCCGCGTGGTTCAAGCAGTGGCGAGGCGTCCTGGCTCGCCCATAGCCCTGCCAAACAATGTCCTAGGAACCTTTTGTGTGGCTCCCACGAAATGTTCTCAGAACATTTCTGGCGGAGGCTGTCTCGGTTTCACACATCGGGTTCATGCTCTAAGAGCATTGTTTTTGCTCTTAGAACACTTTTGGGCTCTAAGAACATGCCGTGGTAGGACTATGGGAATGCCGGGACGGTCGGCCCCTGCTCAAGTGGTGGGGCTCCCTAGGGGCCCGGTGGGTCGGCCAGGAGGGGCCAGCTCGCCCGGCAGCGCTGGGGGGCCGCGTCCCCCCCCCCCCCGGGGGCGGCCGCCGCGCCCGCAGTCGCGGCGGAAGAGCTTCCGGCCTCTGACTTGGCATCGCTCGGACGTGTGCATTTTTTGCTCGGCGAGAACCCTCGAGGACCATCCTGGACCATCGAGCAAACAAAACAAAAAACACGCACGACACCGAAAAAGGTGCACGGGAAGTGGACGTCCGAGCGACGGCGAGCTGAGGCGTTGCGTAATCTGCAGGGCCCCGCGTGGGGTTCCTTGCGGGAGGGGTCGGCGGGGGCACATGAGCAGAAGAGGGGGATGCAGGATGGCGGCGAAACGGGAAAGGATCATGAGGCTGGGGTGCAGGGAGCCATGAGGAAAGGGACGGGGAGAGGAAGAAGGAGGGGGACGGAGGAGTCAAGGATCCGGAAGGGGAGGAGGAGGGCAACAGTGTGCGGCAGCATGCGGCATTCGCAGGAGGAGGCAGCAAAGCACGCCGAAACATTCGAGCAAGGTGATGCCCCCCGTGAGGGGCGCTACAGGGTATCAGTTGGGTGTTCTGCCTCGATTGGCCTTTGCAGGTGCTCCGGAAGGGCCTCCTGGAGCCTCTTCGGGCCCCATCGTGGTGCGCTCGGGGGCTCGGGGCCGTTCCAGAGGGTTGGCAAGCGGCCACGGCGTCAGAAGATCCATTCTCACGGACCCCCCAGTGGGAGCCCAAGCTTCCAGGAGGAGGAGGAGGAGGCAGAGGAGGAGGAGGAGGAGGAGGAGGAGGAGGAGGAGGAGGATAGCAGATAGCACCCCTCTCTTCTAGGACCCGCTTTGCTTCATCAGGAGGAGGGGGGGGCGGGTGGCCGCAAAGTGGCCTGCGCCGCCGCGCGCGCAGCAGCCCACGCAGGTCGTACTCTGGCGCGTGCTGCACCCCTGTCCCAAGCCGAATCCGAATTGATCACTGCCCGCTGCCCTGGAAACCAATAGTCCTGGACCTCGGGGGGCGGCGGATGTGGAATTGTTGGGGCCCCAAGGGGGGTCGAGCATGCCCCAAAATTCCACTGCCCTCGTGGAGTCCCAGGATGTCGGTTCCCGCGACGGTGGACATGGACAAATCCCCGCCTCGCACCCTGACCCCAGCCCTGCTGCGTGCAGGCCGCTGCCACCGCTGCCGCTCCTGGCCCAAAACGCGAGCTGGCATCCACGACGCCAGGCGGGCAGCCCCGCCGGCGCCGCGCGGAGGAGGATCGCCCTCCTGGCCCAAGCCTCCTCCGCCTCCTCTTTCCTCCTCCTCATCCTCCTCCTTCCTCCTCCTCCTCCTCCTCCTCCTCCTCCTCCTCCTCCTCCTCCTCCTCCTCTTCCTCCTCTCATCCTTCCTCCAGCGCCAGCTCGGGTCGAGCCCCCGCTCGCTCCGAGCCCGCACCGCGCCGGAGCTCTTCCGCTCCCTCCCCGTCGCCGCAGGCCATCCTCCCCCTCGCCTCCGTGCGCGCGACGTGGGAAGAGGCCGGCGGCGGACGCGGGCCGCCGCGGGCCCGGCGATGTCGGAGGCGCCCTCGCGCAGCTCGGAGCACGGCCGCGGAGGTCGACGCCGAGAGCGCGCAGCTCCGCGCCTCGGCCGCGTCGCACGCCGTGCTCCCTGTGACGCCAGCGCGGTGCCGCTCAGGCGCGGTGGTCCTGCCGCCCGTGCTTGCTCCGACGGTCGGCGCGGACGTAGCTGCCATCGAGGTGTCCCTCAAACGGCCGCACGCCATCGTCGAGGAGACGGAGGCCGACGCGCGCGCCCTGGAGCACATGGCCGCGTCTGGCACCCTGTCTTCGGGCTCGCGGGCAAGGGGCAAGGACAACAAAAAGGTCGACGCCGCCGAGCGCCGCGAGCTGGAGGCCCCGCTCGCAGCCGCCCGCGCCGCGGCGGTGGAGCTGATGGTGGCGGCTGGCACGGAGACTTGAGCGGCAGGGCCGTCATCGGGGGCGCTGGCGGCATGCTGTGCTGGAAGCCCGCCTGCGGCAGTGGCCGCCGCGATGCTGCCGCCAAAGGCCATCTTCCTGTGGCAGTGGCCCGCTCATCGGGGCGCCGCAGCGTGATGGTGGCATCGCTACCCTCCGAGGCAGTGGCCCGCTCCTCGAGGCGCCTCGGCATGTTTTCGGGCAGCGCCTCAGCGGCAGTGGCCCGCCCATCGGGGCGCCGCGTGCAGTTTGCGGCCCTTTCCCTCTCAGCGGCAGTGGCCCGCTCCTCGGGGCGCCTTTACAGTCGGGGCCCTGAAGAAGGAACCCTTTTCGTTGGGGAGGGGCTCCGCGTTCCTTAAGTGTTTCACAGCTTGCCTCAGGCTTTCCGTAGGTTTTTGACTGGAAATCGAAGGTTAATTTATGGAAAAAAGGGACCTCGTTCCTTATTTAGGGTTCCTTAAGTCAACGCCCCGACTGTAATTCAGAGTGACTTTTGCAGAGTGGGACGCTGGTGGCTCCTGCTGCATCGAGGCCGGCACCGGCGACGCCGTCGCGGTGGGGGCCCAGGCCGTCGGCGAGCGGGACGGCGGCGAGCCATGGCACCAGGTGGAGGGCGGGGCCATGCCGGCGCCCCCCTCCTGAGGCCGCTGGCCCTTCCCGTTCCACGGGCGCGGGGGTTGGGGCGCGTCGGCTCCGACCGAGTCGGTTCCGCTTCGCTCTCTCTTTTTGTCTCTCTCTCTCTCTCTCTCTTTCTTTCTCTCTCTCTCTCTCTTTCTTTTTTCCTTCCTCCTGCCCCTTCCTTGCCTCCTTTCCCCTCCCTCTCCCTCCTCCTTCTCCTCCTTTTCCCTTCTCACTATCCCCCCTTCATTCGTCCCTCCGCATTCCTCCCTCCTCTCCTCCTCTCTTCTCCGATATCATTTATCCTCTCGTCTCCTGCTCCTCTCCTCCCTCCCTCCCTCCCTCCCTCCCCATCTCCATCCTCCTTTCTCCTCCCTTCCTCTTCCCGCCAGTTGGCTTGGCCTACCTTTGGCCCAGATCCGCAGGCACTCGCCTCCTGAGCATGTCCACCCGTCACCCCATTTCTCTCTCATCCCGCCTCGTCTGTCCCTCTTGCTGCTCCGCTTCCCCGCGAGGGAGCGATGGACCCGGCGCTGGAGGACTTCCTGAAGGAGGCGCGCTGTCGCTTGGGCATCTCAAACTCTGGAGGAGGAGGAGGAGAAGGAGGAGAAGGCGGAGGAGGAGGAGGAGGAGGAGGAGGAGGAGGAGGAGGAAGAGGAGAAAGAGGAGGAGAAGGAAAGGGAGGGGAGGGATGAGGAGAGGAGGGGTTGGATGGTGAGGGTGAGGGGGAGTGGGGGGGGAACATGGAAGGAAGGGTTGAAGGAGAGGAGCAGGGAACGGAGTGGGGGGAGGGGAGGGGGTAGGGATGAAAGGGGTGAAGAGCGAAGGCCCCGGAGGCTCGGGGGCACGAGGCGCATATCCTGGCGACGAAAGCACGGCTGGGATCGGCAAGACCGCTGCCTCCGTGGGTCGTCGCTGGCTCTGCCCTCTTTGGCGCCCGGCTCCCCATCTCGGCGGGGCGGGCCACGGCTCGAGGCGATACGGGTGGCGCAGCGCTACGACCAGGATGGCGGCGCCGTTCTGCCTCTGCAGGCATTCCACGCCATCCTGGAGGACCTGGGCCTCGAGGAGGACTGTCGGGGATTGGGGGGGGTGGAGGAGCGTCGGGGATTTTGGGGGGCGGGGGGGGGGCAGCGGAGCCAGGAAGGGAGGGGAGTGAGTGGAGGGCGGGGGGGGGGTGCGGATATTGATGGGAGGGGGGGTGATAGAACGGAGGCGCGGCATCCTCCTCGCTCAGAAAAAGCTTCTTGGAGCGGCCCCCTGCTTTCCAGAGGGCCCGCCGGTGCTTCCCTTGCTCTCTCGCCGCCGAGCCTGCACGGGCGCCGTCCGGGCAAGGGTGCAGACGAGGAGGGGGAGGGGGGACGGAGGAGGCTCGGGCCAGACGAGAGGGGGGATAGGGAAAGGAGGGGGGTACGAAATCTGCTGCATGCAGCTGATTTCGGCCCCACCGAGGGGCCCATTCCTCGATGCATGGCCGCCTCCCGGCGCTGGGAGGCGCCGTGAGAATCAGCTACGTGAGCTGATTATCACCCCCCCCCTTTGCTATCCCCCTCTTCCGCCCAGCCCGAGAGGCGGGAGGGGAGTCGCTCAGACGCAGGTCTGGAAATCTGGATCACCAGCCCGTCCGGGTCCACATGGGGGGCCTGGGGCGGGCGTCGCGATTCAAAAAGTTTGCGAACGGCGGCCCGCCGAGAGCACGACACATCGAGGCGGAGGGAGTCTTTTTGCGACCCTTCCAGAAGAGGCTCGACGGCTCGATGTCGGGGGCCAGGGACGACGGGAAAGCAGCAGGGGAAGCAACGACCAAAGGCATAAGCTGCACACACCTGCCCGCGTGCCTCCCTCGGCCAGCATGCTGCCGGATTTTGCCCCCGGATCCCTCCCTGCCCCCTTCCGACCTCCTTTTCCGAACCGCCCCGGCTGTGTGCAGGGCTCATTTCGATTCCTCCGATTCGATCTCGATGGCCTCCGATTCCGATTCGATTCGACTCCGGATTCCGATTTGGAGTGCGAGTCCTCAATGGAGGCCTACTAGCCTGCCGATTCCTGCCGATCCGATTCATTTCGATCGCCGGTCCGACGGATCGATTCGACTATGGGATCTCCTGGCTGTGTGTCGGCGAGGGGGCCACAAGAGGGCATCGGCGGCGACGATAGGGGCGAATAGCCCAGGGGCGGGCATTACACGTATTCGCCCGGGAGCCTTTTCGAAGACATAGATCATCGGCGCACCTGAATACATGTATTGCTCTCTCCTGAGCTATTCGCCCCTATCGTCGCCTCTGAGGGCAGACGAATGTAATGCTTCTGTCAGGACAGCGACGCCGCCCACTTCCTCATGGACAACGTTCACGTCTCGCGCGAGCACGGGCTCTTCAGCTACGAGCCCCTGTTGCAGATGCTGGGCCTGCCCACTCCATACTCAGGAGGGGGAAAAAAGACACAGACACAATTAATCGTCGATGCCCAGGAACATATGGGAGAATATGGGAAGTGGGGGGGAAGAAAAAACCAAGAAAGTATGGGAAAATATGGGGAATCCTGTTATTTCGGTGTATTTCTGTAATCGCGTCGCTCATTCCGCCGGCCCGTATTGTGCCCTCGCTGGCGTATGGGCTTTTGAGGGCCTTGTGGGGTTCTCGTTGGGGGTTGCTTGGGGGCCTCTTGGGTTTCTGTTGGAGCCTCTTCGGGGTTTCTTGGAGCTCCTTTGGGAGCATTTGGGAGCATCTTGGGGCTTCTGGGCGCCGCTTAGGGGCCGCCGTCGGCTTCTGAGGGCGAACTTGGGGGCCTCTTGGGCCGTCTTGGAGCGTCGCGATGCCGAAAAGGTGGAGACGCCAACATCTTTCCAAAACCTAAGGAAAAAAACAATCAATTTTGCCTCTTGGGGCTCTCTTCTGAGTGTTCTTGAAGGCCTCGCGGGGCGTCTGGGGGCTATCTCGAGGGCCTTTTGGGGGCCTCCTGGGGCTTCAAAGGGGCCTCTTGGCGCCTCCTGGGGGCTTCTTAGGGCCGAGGGCTTGACATGTTGTTTCGTGTTCCCCCTCTGAGGCTTCTCTTAGAGCGTTCTTGGGGTCCTCTTGGGCCGTCTTGGAGGCTTCTTGGGCCGTCTTGGAACCCTCTTGGGCCGTCTTGGGTCCCTGTCGGAGGCCTCTGGGGCCTCTGAGGGCGATCTTGGGGGCCTCTTGGGCCGTCTTGGGGCGTCGCGATGCCGAAAAGGTGGAGACGCCAACATCTTCCCAAAACCTAAGGAACAAACAATCAATTTTGCCTCTTGGGGCTCTCTTCTGAGTGTTCTTGAAGGCCTCGCGGGGCGTCTGGGGGCTATCTCGAGGGCCTTTGGGGGGCCTCCTGGGGCTTCAAAGAGGCCTCTTGGCGCCTCCTGGGTGGGGGCTTCTTAGGGCCGAGGGCTCGACATGTTGTTTCGTGTTCCCCCTCTGAGGCTTCTCTTAGAGCGTTCTTGGGGTCCTCTTGGGCCGTCTTGGAGGCTTCTTGGGCCGTCTTGGAACCCTCTTGGGCCGTCTTGGGTCCCTGTCGGAGGCCTCTGGGGCCTCTGAGGGCGATCTTGGGGGCCTCTTGGGCCGTCTTGGGGCGTCGCGATGCCGAAAAGGTGGAGACGCCAAATTCATCCCAAAACCTAAGGAAAAAAACAATCAATTTTGCCTCTTGGGGCTCTCTTCTGAGTGTTCTTGAAGGCCTCGCGGGGCGTCTGGGGGCTATCTCGAGGACCTTTGGGGGGCCTCCTGGGGCTTCAAAGAGGCCTCTTGGCGCCTCCTGGGTGGGGGCTTTTTAGGGCCGAGGGCTCGACATGTTGTTTCGTGTTCCCCCTCTGAGGCTTCTCTTAGAGCGTTCTTGGGGTCCTCTTGGGCCGTCTTGGAGGCTTCTTGGGCCGTCTTGGAACCCTCTTGGGCCGTCTTGGGTCCCTGTCGGAGGCCTCTGGGGCCTCTGAGGGCGATCTTGGAGGCCTCTCGGGTCGTCTTGGGGCGTCGCGATGCCGAAAAGGCGGAATCGCCAAAATCTCTTCCAAACCTAAGGGAAAAAACATATTTTTGCCTCTTGGGGCCCTCTTGGGAGTCTCTTGGGACTCCTCGGCAGCGTCTTGGGGGCCCCCAGGGACTCTTGGGGGGCGCTTGGAGGCCTCTTTGGGCGGGAGGGGGGGTAGTCGATTGCGCCTCCCCCCTCGGAGGCCACGATCCTCGTGAGGGGTGTCGAAAAATGGCCCTCCTCTGGAGTGCTCTGGTGACTCCTCCCGGGCTTCTCCCGGGGTATTTTTCTTCTGGGGACCCCCAGGGGCCGCCCCGCGCGCGCTAGGTAGAATTATTGTAAAGCAGTTACCGGAGATCTTAGCACGCCTCTGGCCCGTTGGGCCGGCGAATTTGTGTGTCTCAGGGCCCCTTCACATACGACGGTCCCGATCAATCCGATGATCCTCCCTTCCCCTCCTGCATCCCGCTCCTACTTCTCCTGCTCGTGGCTTGCCGTCTTGACATGGATTCCCCTATCGCTTCTGGGCCTGCGCCGCGCAATGTGTTTACATTGTTCTTCTCGTCACTTCGATGTTTCTGTAGTTGCCAGATTCGTCATCTGCAGGCTGAGTTTGGCCTCCACGTGACCATCTGGACGAAGTTTGAGACACTTTTCAAAATGTGTCCGAAACGCGTTCAAGGTGATTTTCTTTCTTCTGCCAGACATGGTTTACTGTCCTACGGGACGTGTAGATATCATTGGCACTTTTCGCCCGCACGTTTTCTTTTCCACGTTCACACTGTTGCGTTTAACAGTTCCCAGCCAGTTTCTAAATGTGGCTCCACGTCAGTGTATTTGATAGGTTCTGGCTCCTGTTGTGCAACGGATTCCAGGCCCATGTTGTTTGCGCCCAGGGCGCCATGTTGACATTGTCAGCGCCTTGGATTTTCCTATCAAGCGCTTATCTCGCTGAGCTGGGAATCGTAATTACGGCGGTCAACCGCATTACAATCATGGCGATCGATTCGTTTATGGATGTATGTTTATCCAGATGTTGTGCTCGATAGTGCCCGCACGGACGTATACCGTGTTGTTTGTTAGTGGCCGGCGTCGGGTTGCTTGGTTTTATCTTGATGTTTGGGGTTGATATGGTTGTCGAAGTTGAGCGCGGCAGTGCTTGCTCTGCGTTGGACATAATTATCCTGCACGGCATGCATCTGCATGTATGCCCATTTGTTCGGTGACACCATCGTGTTGCACCGCACTCTCGCTCCATGGTGTTCATGTTTGTCATGCTGGTCAATCTCCTGCGACAGGAAGCCCAGCGCGCGTTGTCCCCAGTGTTTCGCCAACCGACGGTCGCTCAACGTCGGCTTGTCAGATCGCAGTGGAACGGCGACACCCAACCGGGAAATCGTTTCGTTTCGTTAGAGACGTGCGTGCGGGCGAGGCGAAGCTGCGTGGGCGCGCGAGAGGAATGAACCCGCCGTTGCTAGGGCGAAGACAAGGCAAATGTTTCTCCTCCGTCCGTCCGTCTGGCGGTGGCCCGAGGTGTCCCGTGGTGTCCTCTGGTGTCCCGTTGAGTGAGATCGATAGTGAGATCGATAGTGAGACCGATAGTGAGATCGTCAGGTGTCCCGCGGTGTCCAGTGGTGTCCCGTGGTGTCCCGTGGTGGCCCGTGGTGTCCCGTGGTGTCCAGTTGAGTGAGATCGGTTGTGAGATCGATAATGAGATCGATAGTACGATCGATCGTGAGATCGATAGTGAGATGGATACTGAGATTGATGTGGTGCCCCCAGATGTCCCATGGTGTCCTGTGGTGTCCCAAAAAGTGAGATCGATGGTGAGATTGATAGTGAGATCGACAGGTGTCCCGTGGTGATCTGTTGAGTGAGATCGATAGTGAGGTCGATAGTGAAATCGATGTGGTGTCCCGGGGTGTCCCGGGGTGTCCTATGGTGTCCCGCTGAGTGAGAGCGATCGTGAGATCGACAGTGAGACCGATAGTGAGATCGCGACGTGTCCCGCGGTGTCCCGTGGTGTCCCGTGGTGGCCCGTGGTGTCCCGTGGTGTCCCGTTGAGTGAGATCAATATTGAGATCGATAGTGAGATCGATGTGGTGTCCCGAGGTGTCCCGTGGTGTGCCGTGGTGTCCTATGGTGTCTCGCTGGGTGAGATCGATAGTGAGACCGATAGTGATATCGAGGAGTGTCCCGTGATGTTCAGTGGTATCCCGTGGTGTCCCGGGGTGTACCGTGGTGTCCCGTTGAGTGAGATCGATAGTGAGATCGACAAGTGTCCCGTGGTGTCCCGTGGTGTTCCGTTGAGTGAGATCGGTAGTGAGATCGATAGTGAGATCGACAAGTGTCCCGTGGTGTCCCGTGGTGTCCCGTTGAGTGAGATCGATAGTAAGATCGATTGAGTCAGATGTTGGTTCCCCCCCTCTCCCCCCCAACCTCCTTATGATCCGAATGCTTGTCGTATGGGTATTATGCCCTTCCTCTTCGTCCTGGAGCGCGTTCTGACCAGGATCCCGAGGCGGATTCAGCCGCCTTTTCCTCTTCCTCCTCCTCTCCTTCCTTCCCACACTCATTCCTCCTGCGTGGCCATTTCGACTCAAGATGCAGGATTCCGCTGGGGAGTGGATACCGCTGATAAGCGGCCAGCTTTCACTTTTTTCAGGGGACCCCGACCCCGCCGCTAGTCGTGCGGCGGTATAAGATCCTTCGCCGTTGACGTGTCCCGCGATGGCGGCTCAGTCCTCGCATGACCTCGTGAGCCCAAGTGGGGTGCCTAGGGTGCGGCCGCAATCGGACTTGGGCATGCCGGGTCCGCTGTGCTTCTGGCAAGGCAGCGTGGTGAGGTTCTTCGTGCTGGCGCTCCTCGCGGTGCTTGGGCTCATGGACCGCCTGCCACCAGAGGCCAGCAGTCAACGCCCGAGCCGCAGGTCGCGAATCTCACCAGGCAGATACAGTTTCTCACACAGTTTGGTGCAGGTGGGATGGCGGCCGCAGGACTCGGAAGCAAAGGAGGTGTATCAGCTCCCTGCCCCAACCCCCCTGCCGAGGATGACCCGAGTGGTACGGAAGTGGTCGAGCTCAGGACGAGAGCTGACGCAGTTGAGGATATGATCGGTTCGTTTCAGAAGTGTGGTAACATGGCCGTGTGAGAGCTTCTCCTCAAGATGGGGTCCGACTTGGCTACGCTGCGCCGCACCAGCAATAAGACGAACCCCGGCATCACCAGGCGGACCACGCTCGGCCACAAGCTGGCATTTTCTTCGCAACAGTTGGCAAAGCTGGAGGACGGGTCCGTCGCCCAGCTGAAACGGTCAGCCAATGTCGAGATCGAGTCCTACAAGGTGGGGCTGCGCACCACGATGCAGCAGGTGGCACCGCAGGAGATACCCTTGCAGGAACTCGATCCCTATGCCCTCGCAGCCGTCCCGCAGGAGGTGCATCAGCT